TTTTTTTTAGTATGAGTTTTTAGTATGAGTTTTTAGTACAATATGATTTTTAGTATGATTAGTATGAACTATTTATTGCAAAAAATACACTAGTTGTATATAGTTGTATATAGTTGTATATATAGTTGTATATATAGTTGTATATATAGTTGTATATATAGTCGTATATATAGTTGTATATATAGTTGTATATATAGTTGTATATATAGTTGTATATATAGTTGTATGGTTGTGTACAGTATTCGGTATACAGTATACAGTATACAATATGTAATATTATCGGTGTTTTTTTTATTTTTGTGTACTGTATTTTTTCCTGGGGGAAAAATTTTTTTTATATAATCAAAATAGTAATAGTTATTGTATGAACATTTTTTGTAAACAGGAAAATTACACTATTGAATTTTTTGATAATCATATGTGAGATGGGGCTTAATGTTTGAGAATGAAATTAAACTTATTTATTATATAGTACAAAATGTTTTTTTTTTTTTGGCGTGATTTGTAGATTCTAATAAAAATTATTTTAGCGTATTTTTTAAAAACCACAAACTATTTAAGTATAATTTGAGCATAATTTAAGAGTACAATTTTTTGTTAGATATAAGGTAAGTCGGACAATAAAGTTGTAAAGTCGAACCAGTAAGTTTGACAGTAAGTTTGACAAGTAAGTTTGACATTAAGTTGGACGGACAGTAAGTGAATTTTTTAAATCCTTTACATACGTAATAATTATTGACCATATTCGATATATAGAATACGATATATATAAAAAAAGCTATATTCTTCTATTGACAAGATACGACGGGGTGGTTCAATAAATTAAAAATTTTAGGTGTAATAATAGTTGGAAGTGTAGGTGGAATGTTTTGTTTAGGTTTGGGTCCTCGTTTTTTATCTGATTTCTCATATATACATATTCTATCACGTTTACAACAATTTGAACATCTTTCTTCGCCAGAACATTTTTCTTTTTTGCTACGACAATTTGTACATGCTAATGTCACGTAGGTTCTTGCTTTCTTGGTCACTTTAGAAGAACGCGAATTTATTTTGAGTTGCTCATCTTCATGAGTACTTGAAGGGCTGTAAGGTTGCGAATGCATTTTTGAATTATTATTATTATTTTTAAAAATGAAAACTATGTTGAAAAATTTATTATCTTTCGTATGATTTGAGAGTAATAAAAAACTTGATTTCGTTTGAAAATACAAAGGGAAAAAATCTCGTCCTTTATAAATTATTCCCAGGTAACACCAAGTTTGTTACACAATTTTCCTAGAATCATCCAAGAAAATCTAGACTATTTTACTAATATTTCATGCATATATATGTTGATCA